CCATAAATATGGACATGCTGGTCGCCTGGGGGAAACACCTTACTGCCTTCACACTCCTGTCGCAGAGGACAGTACGACTTTACCCCCAGACCGCCTCGTAGCACGATTACTCGTAGTACGGGGTCTCGCTGCTCTTGGTCTGGCTGCTCCCCTTTGGCCTTCCTGGCATGGTTGCACCTTGTGGAACGAAGTTCCAGCCAGTGTAGCCCGCAGGATCATTGCAGCACTGAAGACCAACCACCACGTCAAGGTGGCAGCTTTAGGTCGGGATTTCCCTTCCCGCCCGGGTACATTCGCTTCCCATTCTGTCGTATGGACTCCACAATGTCAAGGTGGCAGCTTTAGGTCGGGATTTCCCTTCCCGCCCGGGTACATTCGCTTCCCATTCTGTCGTATGGAGAAACTCCACAATCAGGAAGGATTATAAAGTCTTGGGTGTGCGATGCAACTGCGTGAGTTGTTGGGTCTGGGGTAGCCATTTTCATGAGGTGTCTGCACATACTGAGCTCCACAGAGCGGGCAAGCTGACGCTGATTCTAGTTTGCCCACTGCGCTTGCTGGTAATTGTTTATGATACGTGGTGCAGTGAGAAGCCAGGACTATGAAATCGCTGTGACCAATTAAGGTGTGGTATTCCAAGAACTTGGGCATCAATTTTTCGTTTGTAAATATCAAGTCCAGTGAAGAGAGAATCTCTGACCCGCGTTGCTGCGCGATTTAGTTCACACAGTGCAACAGTGGTATATAAAAAATATATCCATCAGTGTTATTCCATATGAAGAGTAGTTGCAAAGAGATGGAGTACTTAACTGATGCTTAGTTAATCTGTGTCTCGTTTGTCTAAGAGTTGCTCGGTATGATTAATGTGTCTTGATCGTAACTAAGAAACAGACGGTGACAGAATAATCTGTTGGCAACCTGCGACGATGGGTTGTCGGTGGATTCATGGAACTAGTGGAAGATTCTCACTCCTCAGATTTTCGCGCAGGCTATTGTCATCGCTGTTGGGTCAACTCAGAAGTCTTTTGTGACGGTTGAATCTTATCCTGATTGCTCTTGATCTCAGGCAATTTCTGGTTCTGTTCGCATATGAAACAGAATAGAAATATGTTCAGACCTCGTCTAATGAGCTTGTGATTGATCCTCATTCGTGGTGAACTTTAATCCTCGACAAAAGCTGGACTGATTCCTCATAGATCCAACTAACCGAGCCAGAGGATAACTTATGAATTTTCATATCGCAAGGTTTTCTCGATCACACTCATTCAATAGATGACTTCGCACACGACTTGCCGGTATTATCGGTGGCGTAGTTTATGCGTTTCAGTACGTCTGCAGTGGTCTCAAAAAGTATAAACAAACGACCTACAAAGTTGAGTAAGGTGAGCGGACGGTTATTGTGAGAGAAGCAAAACCGATGCTCCTGGAGGAAGGCAGTACTATCAGGTCCATCTGAATATCCCGCAGATTTCGACCGAGCGGTTTTTAATCTCACCGATGTTTTGGTGATCCTACTCTATCGTTTCATTTTTTTCTTTCAATTCTACGTGAGGTTGACGCACTGGTTCCGTTGACTGATGGAATCCGGATCTGTTGATGATTCAGATTTCGCCTTCTCTCCGGGCGATGTGTTCACCGAATTTGCAAAGTTTAAAATCTCCGAGGCCACCGCGCTTACAACAAAGAGGGGTGATCGGAGAATGTCTGTTAAGGAGTTGAAAATAATGCGTTCGGAAGTTGGGACAACGTGTCAGATTCGCAGCAACCGCGCCCGTATAATCGTAAGTTTTCCCACCGATTTGACTCTTTTCTACAAGCGGTTCTTTAGCTTTTTTATTTGCTCTTATCTTCGTTTATGATTTGAGGAACAAGAGTTCTGCCTATCTTTGTTATTTTCTCGCTGCCAGGGTCTCTGGCGGACTGCCTATTCAATGGTTCTGCGCTGTGGTGATCCGTGGGCCAAATTCCATCTGGACCAGTTACCTGTAGAGTTGGCGAAACGACATCGTTATAGTCCACTGCAATCTCAGTGGGTAGAAGATGTCGTTCAAGTGCGTATAGAGGAGAAGTCTTTCGGTCGAGGTGCCATGAGAGAGTGTTTCCGAGTGTAAGTTATATCCCGTATCTATCACGTTTTTATGTGCACCTGTTTACACAGCTACGTGGTTGTTATCGTTCGAATTCGCAGCCTTTAACATCACGTTCTGCAGTATAAAGATGATTAGGCGCATTCTAGGTTTTCATCGGTTCTGTGAAATTCGTGTTTCTTCATGGGTAATTCGGAGGGGGGGGGGGCAACAAGCCCAGCTATATAAATCTGATTCAAGGCAGATGACATCAAACCTGAACCGATTTCTACCCTCCACAAGCTGAAAAAAAACTCGCTACTTCTCTTTTGGCCGTTCAGTTTTTGAGCAACTTGAACTTTGCACTTAGTGAATTTCTTTACACTGCTTCATGTGCCATTTGGTTTTCGCAAACAAAGTTTCGCTTATTGTAGTCCTTTTTCGTATTTATTGAAGCCTGTTTCAACCAGTTATGGGCGCTGACCGTTCTTTTTCTGTAATCCTTATCGCTATTGGTCATTTTAATGCGTGTGACCACTGTAGGCGATCACAAAACAGGTCCGCATAGATCCATATTTGCCTCTCACATGCACTGCTACCCGGCTGTTCAGACAAAACACATCCAGTTGCAGCGCACTTTGATATCTAGATGATGGGATCTTTGCTGGCGTACTGTTTGCATTCTAATCAATCGCAGCGCCTCGAAATATGCCTGCATCCTCCATCATTTTTAGATAACCATTTGCGAATACAAAATTTGTTCATATTCTATCAACCAAGCGTGAGTACTTGTAGTCTCTGCTGAACAGTAAAGATGGAAGCGCCACGTGTATTTCTGAAGCACTCCCACATTGCCGCATTGTTTGTATTTTCACCGTTGTCATGCGCTTGCTTAATTGGTTCATCTGACGACCAGAAAACGAACTGCAGCGTAGTGTCGTTTTGTCAGTGACTGAGCAACCTGCTTAATGGGTATTGTTGTTACCAGCAGAATTCACGCTGACGTCATCATCGTATTGTGATCCTTTACTTTGGGGCAATTTCCTCCTAAAGATGGATGAGTTGACTTCAATAATATCCCGAATCGGGACTACCCACGATTGGCAGAAACTTCCGAGCACAAAGTTATCCACTTTCTAGCGAAATGTACTCATTTGCAAACAAATATGATTTCACGAGAGACACCTTAAACCCAGCTCATTCTCTGGTTTGTGCTGTTTCCAGACAACTGAATGTGTTGCAACGGGCTGCTTCATGTTTCAGTCGCTACGATATTGGAGATATCGGGATACATGTTTAAACGTGATGCACTACTCATAAGGTTGATGAAAGTTCTTCGACAGCCCACGACCGGTTTCGCCCTTTTTGGGGATCATAAAGTAGGCACAGTCCCCGAGTTTCCATCAACCTTTTGTTCTACTTGAAACCGAATTGCATGGGAGTAGCGAAATACGCTCAGTTGCAGATAAATTTGATTGTGCGAGAGACTCATCTGAAACCCAGCTGAATCGCTCGTTAGACTGCCCACCATCATACCATTTTTTGGCATGCGCCGTGCACCTTCAGAGTGCAAAGTCATGCTTCAGAACGTGCAGTCTGCGAACATGTCCATTACAATTCAAGGAGAATCACTGGAGATTGTGGAAAACTTTACGTACCTCGGTAGTTGTATTAGCTCTTACGGAAGTATGTCTGATGAAGCCAGTGCAAGAATCTCAAAGGCTCGGATCACATTTGCTAATTTCCGTCACTTGTGTCGTCAAAAAGACATATCAGCAGATCTTAAGGGTTGGTTTTGGATGGCGTCGGCATGTTAGTAATGAGGTGATTAGAAAGTGGGTATTTGATTGTGTAATGAGCAATTCAGTCGGAGAAAACATCCAGCATCACCGACTACGATGGCTCAGCCATGTGTTACGCATGACGAAACACCGTCTACCGAGACGAGTGTTGGTCTCTGTGCCTCCTTCAGAATGGCGCAAACCGCGAGGTGGACAGTGGATGACTTGGCAGAATGGCGTGAAAGAGATCACGAAGAGTTTGGGTGTTGTTGGTATTGTACGCCTTCCAGGACGGGGTCCCCATGATTCCACCTGTGCTTGGTTGGAGGTATTGAAAGGAATGGCGTTCTTGACGTCAGTTTCTTTCCAGATTGTCCGATTAGGCGCTTGGAGGTGTAGGCATCTCAGAATGCTTGACACAAGCCAGCAGTAGGTCCCCTCTCAGACCCACTCTTCTTTTCTTCTTTTCACTCCAATGCTTTGAATATAATTAGATGACTTTTATGGTTGTACGGCGAACCAGTTCCAACACTAATGTTGCCGTCTCTGATGATAATGGTTAAATCCCCAAAAACAGGCCCTCAGGGATGGGGAAGGTCAACGACGATTCTACGAGTCGAACGTTCTGTGGAGTGAATACCCGTTGACTAGTCCTAGACAGAAACTATTCCGAAACAATATGACCTTTTGGGGGGCAAGATGGCTCAGTGGTTAGAGTGCGAATTTACTGACCGGAAGGTTCGTGGTTCGGACCCGACCTATGTCTCTCGACTGACCCGAATTTACTGAGGGCAAGCTGACAGTATCCCAGCCCTCGTGCTTCCTTCTGGTGGCATGGAAGCTAGGCACCGAAAGGGTGCTACAGCTGAACGACTAACTCAAGTCTGTGGCATAGTCTCAGTGCACTCTCTTTATCCGCAGTTCGTCACCCTGTAGCAAACGTTTGCTTACTTTACGACGTGCATCTATATCCACGTTAGTGGACTACAAGGTCACCAGCTAGCCAGCTAACGCTTTGGAGCTATCACTCATTATACGTCAAAGTTCAACTCTGAGGCTACTTTTGCTTTCTCCCTTCGTTACAGCAAGAAGCTATCCAACTTCTGTCAAACTGATGACTGGTCTCATGCTGGAAACTTCGTGGCCAAGCGTTACATTGAGCCAGTGTCTTCTCAGGTCTACTTTGATGATGTCCGTCTACAAATGGATGCCAAGCTGTGGGCTGAGGAATTCAGTCGCCAACCGGCAATTGCCAAAAAGGTGAGAACACGTTCCTTCTGGAGTGTGTGTATGTGTATGTGTGAAAACATATGGAGCGAATGACATGGTGGTTGGAGGACGCAAAGTTTATCTTTGGTACAACTAACTTCTCTCACGGAGTTACTACTGCAGTGTTATACTCTTACTCGGTGTGCGACACATTAAAACATCCTCAGATGAAAATCTCAAAGTGAGAGCCCCCTTCCAGGATGTATGAGAAGATAAATTCCTCGTCATTGTGCTATCGGAATCACCTTACATTTTGGATATGCACATTATCTCTCACGTTGGTGGATTTTTCGAGGCCATTGATCATCTGGCCTTAACACAATGAGGCGAAATTTTCAGACTGTCAAAGATACAACGCGCCATTGATGTCTGTATCAAGATAATATTCTAATTTGCCTGTGTTTCTGCGCGTGATATTAAGAGGAGTAGTGGTCGCTCATGTGTAGATGAACGGTTTTCTGCTCGATGAGTTGAGCGATTTGGTGGCACACGTTTCGTCACCGGTCGGTGGGACGTCATCAGTTCGTAGCAGGCTAATGCGGAGTAAACCCAGATGATCGACCATAATCGAATGTCTCTGGTAGACTCAAGCATACCACTGCTCAACGCTTTCATTCCCATTCACGCCTTACTGTTACTCTGCCACACCGCTGATACCCTGATTATCCATACGTTCAATTAAGGTCAGGTAACTGTGTAGTTAGCTCAGTTTCAGGGCATAACAACTTTGACTTCCAGCAGCATCGGAGCAATAAGTTGAATTAGTTAGCAGATTCTAAGCTCACTCGAACACCAGAACCTTTTTCCAGCGATATGGTCGTCATCATCATTGACATCATTGACATCTGTATTTCACCCTGGCTTCTAAGTGTTAATGAGGGTATATGGGAATATATCCGTTGTTGTCTCACCAGTGATGGACTTTCAATTCAAAGAGATAGTGTCGCAAACGCAGTCAGTATTAGTCATGTCGCCAGCCCTGACGGATCGTCTCCTCATCTATCGATACTTATCGAACAGGGACATTGTAAATAATTGGAACTGTTCGTTTATCCAAAGACCACATTATCATTCCATTTTGGCCAGCCACTTCGGTCGTTGGTAAAAACGGTCTATTCTGGTAGCTGGACTCAATATATCTGAGGCTTCAAGAGGCCGGACAAGTCGTTTCCAGGATGGACAGCAATTACTCTCTTGTGATGTATACTCAAGAGACCTCCGAAGCAAACCAATCTCTCAGGAGAGGCTACCTGTTTTTACTTGTTCAAACCGATTCCCCTAATCAGATTTTTTCCTCCTGAACGTGGATGGACTGAAGGTGATCTAGATAGATGCCCTCGCTTGGAAACGAACAATGAAGTCTGCAAACGCCGTTTTCATATCAGAATCCCTAGACGGAGGCATTGCAGAGGTTCTGGACACTGTGCAGTCGTACTTTCCTATTTGTCTTCGTACCTTCTGCTTTTCGCGTCAATACTAAAGCACACTTATCGCCTTTATAAGATCACCACTGGGTTTAATCGTCATGGCTCAAGTGGTTAGAGCGCGAATTTACTGACCGGAAGGTCCGTGGTTCGAACCCTACCTCTGCCTCTCGATCTCCCCTGTCTAGGCTTGGGCAACCCGACAGTATCCCAGCCCTCGTGATTCCTTCGGGTTGCATGGCATCTAGGCACCTGAGGGGTGTTACAACCGAACGAATTTTTAAAATTCTCTTCAAGGCTACTGGATTGCGCATCCTGCACTTAGTCTCTGATTGCCATCTATACTGACTGTAGCGACTACCGAAGTCCGTCTACACAAGCGTTATGTGATTCCTGGTTGACACTGATGCTGGACATCAGTCAGTCCGGATACTTGAAATAATGAACTGAAATTACTGAACTCACCCTACCAGCTATTCGACATTTTGCTCATAGACCTTCCCAACCAAGCTTTCTGTCAAGGAGCAGATGGAGAGTTGTCGCACTGCAGTTTTTGTCTGGTTTAAGCAACAAGAGACCCCTTGTGGTTCGTCGTCGTGAATCTGGGTCATTCTGGCTTCTTGAAGTTTGTCAACAACGTTATATCCGGGGACCGTCACATATCTGGTGCATTCGGTTCCTTCAGCACTTGACGCTAATGCCAAATTTGTTTTTACTTTTACCAAGTTACACTGTAGACTGCCAATCGTGATCTACTGCCGTAACTTGTCGCTAATGGACACAACGAACAATGTTTGATCATGTTTGTGTTTAACCGCATAACTGAAGACCTTTAGCACTACCAAAACACATAGGGACCTATTCTTTTGTGGTATGGTGTTTCAGTGTCGTACAGCTGTGCAGATTTATTAAACTGGAGTCTTATGATTGAATGAGGAAAGAAATGGGGCTGGGAAGGTAACCTAGAACTAGCCTACCACAAACATCCGAGTTGTCTACACCCCCGACACTCAGTCAGACAGTCTGGATGGAAACTGACGGCATGAACACCACTAACATCGGTTAGCTTCCCTCTTTAACCAAGCACAGGGAGGATCAAGTGGACCTCATCCTGGAAGGCGAACAACACCTCACGTCGAGAGCACTGGCTTTTACAATAAAATTTTCTGTACATGGGTCATTGCACATGATTATCCCCATTGGACGCACTATCTCCCTACTGCATCTCGTGATTTATTTGGGAAGTATTGCAGCCCTAGTAAGTAGGTTATTGCAGCAATAGTTCAGCGCTTCGGTACTTCAAGAGAGTCTTAGTAGGTTTTATAGCCTGAAACTTGTTTTAACTTTATCTAGCTAGTCTTACCGGGTGATCAGCAAACTTTTCGCGTCATTTGAGCCGGAATCGTCCCCACTTTCTACAGGTGGACTGTTCTTCATTAGGACTGAGTTGTTGAGTGATGTACTGGCGTCAACTCTAGTTTGATTCACTTTCGGACTGCTTTTTCCTATTCTTCAACAACTACATGCCCATTTTATTGTCCGACAGGGCTCTGTATGCTGAATATTCAGCTCTCGTGAATTCACTTTTTTCGTGAACAGACTTTTTACACACTTTGCGCACTCATCTCAATAGGTTGACATTGCTCAAATGTGCGTGTTGGAATTCTTCAACCGTCCAGATAAACCCCTGTATCACCTTGAGCATTTCATCGAGGGTACCTATCGCAAGTACAATTCAAATTCAGGCTTTGTCGATGATTTTGCAAGGAACACACCACAGGTGAGCAGATCCACTATCCCTGACGTTTTGTCCCACCTGCGAATGTCGCTACATATTCAGGCTTGACTAATGTCCACAATTTTGTTTTGAGTTATACTGGTGCGAAAACTAATCCCTCCAGATGCATTGGAAATGAATAACTGGCTATACTAGCTAGCTACGTCATACCGGCCGATCTGTCAGGTATGATCCTAACCATATCTGGCCAAGTGCTGTTCGCTTCATCCTTTTTGTTTGTCTGGCCGATTGCTCGATGGCACCGAGACTTACGTATTTGACTTTTTCTGCATACACTCCTCGTAGATCTGTCGTGCGCTAGGAATATGAAAAAAAAACACGATGTTTTATTGTAGACTGTTGGTCTGATTTTTAGTGCAAAACGTTGGCGGGTAGTCGAACTGTCAGGCGGATTGTTCTAGACATCATTTACGCTAACATTCGCTCGCAACCAACTGGTTGAGAGATAACGGAGGGGAGAGGAAAACTTGTGTTTTCCCACTGTCACCATCTCGTGGTGAATACACCTCCCAGAATTCAACATATGAGTAAAAATTGATGCGTTTTTTCTCAGAGATCAAGTTGAGTACATATATAATGCTATGTTTAACTAAACACAGAAACGGTCATCTAGATTTCTTGGGAATGTGCGAACAACTCATGAAGTACCTTTCAATTAACACTGCTAGTACTACCGTTATTTGACCCTTTCGGCAAGTGATTACACAATCCGAGCGCTTTTTGGTCGGGTATCCGAACTTACCTCTCCACCAAGTCGCAAGATTTTTGTCACTCTCTTTTGCTTTTGGAAACAGCTCTTCCCCAATAGACAATTGAGGTCACCAAACCTTTTGTGTTCCCGGTGTGGCCTGAAATGGTCTTGTTGAAGTGACCAACGTATGTGAAGTTTGGATTATCTTTCCCCTAACGGGATGCGTACACACAAACCACAAGTTAACGTCCCGAAGCCGTTTTCTCGTGTTATGATTCATTCCGCACAGCGAGTGCAAAACATTCCACAGAATCATTTTCTACTCTCATTTTCTACTCTGAGAAGGTACCCATTTCACGCTGGCTTGCTTGTCCGAATTTATTCCTTCTTCATCTATCTGAATCGAGCTGTCGTGTTTGTTTGACACTTTTCCAAACAACCACGTGGTGATCTGCACATGTTTCCGTCACTCGTTCAACGTGTATATGGCGAAAATGTGTTCCACAGAGCAGGTGAACTTCACTGTCACTTGATAACAGTTCTATGACGCAAAGCCAACATCCGGTTGGTCGTTTAGCCTCATTGGGTAATTCTTCAGCGTACTTCGTTTTCTAGTAGCTGTCTCATCCCAGCCACAGTGCATCTATACATCGAGTTCTGGAGCATAGACCTCATACAGTCTAACTGACCGCTCCGGCTCTAACGTTTTTTGTTTGTGGGAGAAACCCTATGTATGTCACTTGACTGTGATTAATTGATCCAAATACCTCCCCATTGATTGGCTTGTTTACTGCCTAACGTGTTACGAGTTGCGCTGCATTGGGCGGAGGTTTGTCTTTTGACAAGCAACCAAGTTTTGTCGCATAACACGTGTGCACTTTTAAACTGGCAGTTCGTTTGTTCCACTGGGTGCTCTGGATAAACAACAACTTCGTTTTTCATTCTTTCATAATACTGCCTTTCGATTTTATCAGTGTTGCTGTTAGCTTGCGAAGTAAGTAAATAAGTACGAACTAAGTATATATGTTTTCCGCATGGGTTCGGTTGAGTTATCATTTATTTGAAAAGAGAAGCATCTATTTGATTGAAGGAAACTCACAAGTTTGCTGAAAACTCTGCGACAACCTACAATCGGTTAACGCATTCCTCGTGCTTCCGTCAACATTATGTTCTAATTGAACCAAAGTTGTAAGAAATTCGCAAAATATACTCATTAGCGCACCAATTTTGTTTTAGCGCGAGACTCAGCTGATACCCGGTAGAACGTAAGGTTGACGGAAACATGGGGACTACTCCGACCAGATGAATCTCGGTCATTAGCTGTCGAGGAGTTTTCAGCAACCTTGTGAGTAGTTTTCTTCAAGTATATTGCCATATCTCGAATGTCGTACCAACTGAAACGTGAAGCAGCTTCGTGTAGCACATTCTGTCTTGACGAATATCATGACCGAAAGATTCAGCTGGATTCAGATTCACTTGAGTCTCGCGTGATTTGTGAATAGGTATATTTTACTTTCTCACAGATTCTCTTTACTGTTAGTTTGTTTGAAGTCTATGGCCATGAATGATGATGCTACATGCGAACTTGTGTACGCGAAGGGTTGAGTTATCATCAAGTCCAACGGGTACAACCCGCACCTCGATTTCAAGGCGGCTTCGCCATAGCTTTTTCTGGTCGGACCGGTTGGTATAAGGGCCTTGACAGTATCTCAACTCGCGTACAACCGGGTACATCACAACTTGTTGGATCACGTGCCTTACGCACTAGGCGGCTACCTACCGTGCGGTCACTCAGCCGTGTCCTGGACCTAAACTATTCATGGGCGGACAGGCCATGGCTAAGCAGTGAATCGGTAAACCTCGTATCGGAAGACATCAACAACCATCACCTTCATGAGTTCGATTTCCGGTACCGAAGAATGATCTAGTCACGCATTTATGAATTCGTCACCAGTGATTTTGTCTTGAACATTTTGTACTTTCGGGCGTGCAATTCACTGAAATATGCACCGGCATCGTCTGAAATCCATAAAGGTTTCCGTTTCCTATCCAGTTTATTCTCTCCGAACCACTGTTCCTTGTCCATGCTTTATAGCTGACTTGGTGAAGTCTGAGGTAGGAACTTTGGTTGTGCCCACCTCAACCTGGGTCCTGAGATCATACGGATTTCCCGATAGATTTATCACATTCGAGCTCGCATATTTCGGGGCCTGTGTCTGATAAATGGCTTACCAGCAAAATGGAAAATTTAAATCTACGCCAGAATTCGGCCATATTCGTTGGTTGATAATCCTTGACACGAAGAAATGTAGCTCAAACTCAGGAATGTCCATATTTACTGATACAAATCCTGGGCCCTATTTCCGATTCATATTAATTGAAGTTCTCACGCAGATGGTCCTTCATGCTGCGCTTCTGGTCCCTGTTTTTCTTAATCGTTTGTTGGCTTGTGCAGTGTGCCGCCTAAATTTCGTATTTCCATCTTTCTGTCCAGGCCTTCAGCCACTTTACTTTCGAACAAAGTGGACATCGTCTCATTGTTGTCGACATTCAAGGCGTTGGTGACCTCTGGACAGATCCGCAAATTCATACAGCCGACGGTACTGCATATGGGGATGGAAACCTGGGGATTCGCGGAATGGCACTGTTCTTTCACACGCATCGATGTAATCCTCTGTGTGAGGCATTGAATTTGGGCCAGTTTGATTTGTATCCGGGTGAACAACAGGCCTCTGCGTTGCTCGTTCGGTCTCCAGGTTCCTCCGACTTGAAGTTGGTTAACGGAAGCTCGAAAAATTGCGGTGGGGTAAATTAACGGGATTAAGTTTTCCTGGTGCAACCTGGCTGTTTGTAACGATGGCTTGACTCATCAACTTCACGTTCTTGTTTGCCTTGCAACCACACATATAGGTCGACATCCTGACTATACGCCGATTTTACCTTGCAAAGTTCGTCCAGTGCGTTTTCTTTTCTTAGGTCGCTTAAGTTGCGATTCTCCCCGGTTTAAGAATCGGTGTTTGTACAGCATTGGCCCTACTCAGACGTCTCGAGTCTCCAGACCGCTCTGGCGGTGACGAGGAAATTAGGTGGAAGAGTTGTTTCCAAGATTGCTGTTTTATAGTTTGAATACAATTAATCCTCCTCAAAATGCACCGCATCATTTAGGTTGAATGTGATGATTTCCGATTCTTTCAGAGTGCAACTTTCATTCTTCGTGCGTGCCTAGACTTTCCCCCACTACCTGGATGCTGTACTCAGCCAGTTTATCAATTTTCATTCGTTCCATTATTCACACTCTGGTCATGGCGCTCGAGTGTGTTTACTATTCTAGCCCTCTTCTATGAAGCTGTGTGCTTGCGTTCGTGTGTGTGTCTGTCCTATGCATGGTCGTCGATTCGTTGCCCATGGTGCGTGTGCTTCTGGACTGAACGACGACGAATCGGCGCTCGCTTGCAGTCGAACTAAATGACCAGTCGGGGTCTCATTCAAATCGCTTTTTCCTCCTGCATTGGCCGCCGTATTGACGGTGTTGACTAGGGCCAGAGCGAGTAAATCGTTTGATTACTATCGGCTCGCAATCGAGATTTCGTTTTGTAAATGGAGTCAATCTATATGTAGAAGTCGAGTAGTGCTGTACAACTTCCGTCCTTATCGGGACTCATGTGTTTGACCCCACGAAAACTAATGATAGTGAAGGCGAATGTTCTCATATGTAGTCCGCTTATTTGTTTCGCAGTACAATTTACGAGCCATACTTCGGTTTTCATATCGGATATTGATCGGCCTATATCCCTAACGCAAGGAAGATTACATTAAAAGTGTTTTCCTGGTGTTCAGTAACTTTTGGTTCCCTTTTTGGTCAGGATCCAGAATATGACTTTCTGGTAGGGTGCTCTGTGATGTGTACTTGCCCGTCACGTGCTACGGTAATAAATTGACCTCCATGTTTGAGGCACCTTGGTTGTCAGTAGTGCGCCCAAATTTTGGTGCTCATGGTTAGCCCTGTATCTTAATGTTGTGTGAGCTGTTTTTTGTATTGCTTTTGTCGGATATTTACTGTGTATTTTCATTCCCTTACCCTCAGCAGTTTCCTTTTGGACCAACCGTGGCTGTTCCAAGATCACGGCGCAAGCAGAACCAATCAAGCGGTAGCGAAGAGGGCGTGTTTGTCGACCCAGCGGACTTCACTGAGTCGCACAGTTTCCCCAATGGTGACTTAACCTTCCTACCCTCCCAGTCGCCAGTACTATTACGTGATTCGAAGGTTGAGGTCGTGGGAAAGGCACATTCTCGCTCCAGTCGTGATAGTAGTAAAGATGATGTGAACTATACTCACGATGGTGGTTCCGATTGCATCAATTTCACAGAACAAATGGGTTCTTTTAACAGCCCGGCGGTCTCCGGTGAAATATCCCATGACTCGGGTGTTTTCTTTGGGCAGTCCACTCCGGTTATACGGTTCCGTCCTGAACGACATCGTGCGTTGACAGGCGACTCCTGTTCTGAACTTCCGGACGAGGGGATAAACTCCGCACGGCAGGCCTCCAGCAGAAAGGTGAGCTGTTGCGCATAGATTTTATCAACCACACGTTCCCAAAGCTCTCATGTACAAAACGTAACGCGAAAGGATCATGTCATGTAATCATCTTGACATGTTATGTATACAACGGCAATTCTCTGGTTCGTCTTGATACCTCTGCGATCAGTCCCATTTAGGACAAGCGTCACGATGTTTTTTTTCATCGTAAAAGTATAATGAGCTTGAGGCGATCCAGAGACTGAAGCCTGTGAGTTTGAGCTTGAAATGCATTTTTGACGTTCTGACCACCCCTTTCTATGCTCAGACAGCCCAATATCATTTTATTCTTTGAGGCTTAATTGGTAGGTATGTGTAAAGAAAGATATTGGGGAAGAATCACTAAGGGCGACATTTCCCACCCAAATTCATGGGTCTTTCCATGTATGAGAAAACAGAAACAGAAACACGTTTCCAACCCAGCGAAAATTATGTATGAACACTTGATATTTCATGGCGTAACCAAGCCTTTTTTGATTTGGCACTCTATGTCGTTAGTTGTCCACCTCTCTGGCCCCATGCACCCCAATTTAGGGATTCATAAGGCTCATTTCAATAATCTGAACACGTTACCATTCCAACGCCAGTCCTTAGAATGTTGTCTGTTTCGAGCACATAGGGACGGATTCTCGTAGTCAATAGTCCAGAAGCTGTGAGCCCATGGTATCCGTTTCCTTACCCTAAAATCACCCGTCGACTGCAAAACACCCCTCAAAGTGACTCCTTGTTGGTGTGACTAACCAAACTCTAACGATTACTTGCCCCACTCGATCACTCATATCTAACTGGCAAGTTGGGACAATGCACTGCTGCTTTTGTTGTACGTGTCATTCTAACGCAGGAGTTTTCCTGCAGTCCCATTCTGGTTTTTTAAATAGCACGCATCTAACCCCTCTTTACTAAAGTTCCCGTAGTTCTTTCATGGTATGTTTCTCAGGCGATTAATGACTGGTAAATAAGCACGCAGTCAGACTGACGGAAGTGTGCTCTTGCCTATCCCATCGAACAACCTCCGTATGTCAGGAACTCGCCAACATTTGTGTTGAAATATCATAGATGAGAGCTTCAATAGTCTTCAATGAAGACCCGGTTGATGTGAAAGTGAGTGTATTTGTCGAGATCTGTCCGATATGAGTTCAAATAGGACATAGGGTTGACGGAAACTCGGGGATTGTGCTTACCTGATGTGCCGGAAGAAGGACGATGCCGGTGGTGGGCTGTCGAAGAGTTTTAAACAACCTTGTGAGTAGTTTCCTTCATGAAAACTTCAGAATAGTTTGCCCCTCATGCTTGTGGTTGGTTGAGATGAGTTTGTGACCTCTGGCACAGAATGGTTGACCGACCTCCATAGGTCAGCGTCCGCAAAATAAGCGGGTCTTTCTACCCGTTCATGAACGTGCCACCATATTTTTCGGACGGGTCAGGCGCTTGCTTTTTCTAGCTGTCAACTGAGCATCGGTAGATCACTACTTTGAATCCACACTTGTGCCGTCTAAGGACTAGGAACAAACGATTTGTTCCTTCTTGTAACTATGAACTTAAATGGTCATCATCTAGACCGTTTTTTCATTTTACTTGCTGGCCTATCCGATGATCACTTCTTGCCATCTTGTAACGGAAAAGGCAGTTAGTCACTTGTACTGGCGAAGAATGCGACTAGAGCGCCTAGGGCAAACATCTCGTAAAACATGCTTCTCATTACCCTTGTCTTTTTGTGCAAAATCAAATCTAATTGCCACAACTATATTCTTTTGACGCATGTTTGCCATGCGTCATGTGGGAGAAGCCCGAGGGTTGAACTATTGCCATGTTATCCAAGCCACAACATCAGTAATTGGAAAGCTAGGATCGATTTTGAACAATGAGTCTCTCATCCATGAGCTTGTTCTTAAGCACAACTGCCAATCATTCAGCAAATATATATTATTGTTTCCCAACTAATTCTGTTGGTCATACCCTCTATTTGTCTGCCCCCTTGCTCTTCATTTTCTTCTTAGAACTCTGTCTGCTCATCGACTCGATCAAAGCAGGTAAAGTTCCAGTTGTTTCTGTTGTCATCAACTTGGCCAAATCTTCTTTTCTTGTGTGTGCATAAATCTGGAGTGGGGCGTTCTTGCCTAGAGGAAGAAGGACGGAACCTCTGAAAGGAAGTACTGATATTCGGTGAAAGTAATCCTACCGACCACTTGAACTCTTGCCTGACGACACCAATGCAGACTGCACTGATGCAGTTGAACATTTCTGTTGACTCGGTTGACACAACTGGGAATGACATCGTAATGCACATCATGGAATATCTTTCGAAATGACAGGTTCACACTCGTCTGACAATTATTCTCATTACTATTACGAATGCCCGTGCGGCCTTTTCTCCCAAATCCAGTATTGTTATTGTGTGATACCGCGATTAGTAAACCGTATCGCTCAGCTCTAGCACCCTTTCACCACCAAGCTATCATGCCAACAGAATGAGACACGTGGGCTGGGATACAGCCAGGTTACCCAAGCGTAGGCAGGAGCAGTCGAGATGTTAAGGAGGTTGGGTTCAAACCAAGGACCTTCCGGTCGGCAAGCCGGCGCCTTAACCACTGGACTATCTCTTGCTCGTAACTCACACCTTATCGATGACGAGATGACTGGTATGATGACACAATTGATTTTCTTTTGTATGGATATTTCAAGGTCATTTGCGAAACATGGTGTGCACAAGAGGTCACAACCAGCTCCCTCTGATTAACTCGGGAACATGCTGCCGTAAAAAGAGATCAAGCCTGATTCAAGACTCCTAAATAGAGTATCATCTGAGATTAGTACACGATGGTGTTCACACAATAGTGCTCTCGATGAAATCTCATCAGACAGGTAAATTTTTAGGTGGTTTACAAGGTTGATGGGATACTATCTCCCTTATTCCCTTCCTCCATTTTGCAAACTTATAAATTTACTTGTCTGATAAGATTTTGTATACTGCCTGGTCTCAGTGAACGGGAACTAAAATACACTTGGACACTACTCGTACAATGGTTTTCTTTACTCGCCACTAGTATTTGCAGTTTTCGACAGACGATGGGTTGCCACTAGGATGTGATCTATCTGGTAAGCAGTGCGACTGTCATTTGGTTGGCACCTGAATAAGTTTGTCGAGTCGATTGGGGTTGGCAAAGTTGATCAATGGATCACCGTCGTCGCAGCGTTCTCGTCGCCGAACACTCGAAGAATATGACGGGTAGTGGTGAATGACGCACAGGTTCTCGCGTTCTGTCCGCGAGCAACCCGCAGATTATCGCTCTCGAGTGTAAGGTTGTCAACTACTCGTAGCTTATAGTACGACCACGAGCAAGAAAGCAGCGTTGGTGGCTGTGACATTTAGGCTCCTAGGCTGTCTTTGAAATGGCTGGCTGAAATTAGCACCACTTCTCGTAAGTTCTGTGTAAAAAATTCAGCCCTCTTGAAAACGTCCCGCTGCTACCACCACGAAATGCTTGTTTGGGAACAATGGTAGGGTAAGGAGAAAAACTGGCTCTCACCGGTCCGGGTGTTTGTTTTTTTATGTTCCGAGAAAAGCTTCACCATAGTAGCATCATAGCTTACATTAGGGTGTCCATGTTGTTAGAAACGGCCTTTCTTCTCAGTCGTACAGCATTCCTGCGGACAAAAAACGTTCCAGTTTATTGATACACTTACGTAATGCCTGTTTTCCACGTCTTACATCGGCTTCCATGGCTGACAGAATCCTAGTCAGTATGTACACTTGCCGTGAACAGCACTTGCAGGCTGAAAACCAACCGAAAACACCTGCTTCTAATGCTTGGCGAGAAATAAATAGACTGAAACAGGAAATCTTGTTGAAGAGTTAGCATGCACTAAAGATACATTAGTAAGCATGTGTGCACAAGTAATTGAACGGTAGTTTCTATGAGGCGCGTGACCAGCTCACTACTTTACACTCTCTTCCACTCTGTTTCCAAACACTCATCCTAAAACCACATGTCGACAGATTACTTTTTCATTTTACTTCGCCGTACTACTTCTGTGGGCGGATGAGCCGACTTCAATAGTCTTTACCGCTTTCCACGAACGGTGGTCTGAATATAATACCGAATGTCATGGGTGACCTGAAGGTTAAGATGCTCAACCCCAATGGTGCCATTCTGCACAAGACGGTAGTGACGATGTAGTTTTGTTCGGTTCATTGTTGGCTTTAAGCAGATTTTGTCCAAACTGTTAATGGCACCGGCGTTGAATCGTTTCCGAGCGGCGTTTGAAAGATTCTTTGGATAATTTTTCTGCCCATTGCTCTCTGACTTTTGTTGTAAATACCATTGCAAAGGTCGTCAACTTGAAGGAGCTATCTGTGCCTCACAAGCATACGGATTGCAACATGTGAACCCTTAACTTGAGATTGATTTCTGCTCTCTTCTTTAAGGCTTTATTAGGCAGTACGTAGCTTGTGTTGTCTATGCGAACGGTGATTTCTCGCCTCGCCTCGCCATTTTTCAAAAAGAGTGAACCCAGGTATCCGGTGGAATCCACTTGAAAGGTTATTTCTCTATTGATCAAAACGGGCTAGTCTGTGCATTTGTGCTTTCGCATTATTTCTAATTCAGAAAGGGAATCCTGATTACTGATGTTATCGTGGAGTACGTGTAGCTCTACTGACACGCTGTACATGACGATAGTACCACAAATTCAGTCGTGACATGTGACTCAAAAAGTTGAACTTGATTGAACATACGAGTAGTGACTTAAGACATGTTCTAGCGTCAAAGTTTTAGACCCTTAAGCCACACGAGAATCCAATCCTCTTCCTAAACCCCAGTACGGAAAACAGGTGGCAATGGATTGCCATTAAGTCCGACCTAGAGTCAATATGTGATCGATACTACTGCTTCGCGACCTGGATCCTTTTTCATTTCGGTATACTTTTGCACCTCTTTAGTGAGTGGGGTGACGCCTGACTAATATGGCAAATGTCTCTGCTCTTACGTTTATCAGACTGATCCTCCCCATAGGTTTCACGAAC